TGTGGCCAAAGAAATGACACCCCAAATATCCCATAACACAATCACATCTCAAGCTCTCTTGAATTACCTCTCTAAAAACGATAGCTTTGAAGTTAGGATGTGTTGAGAAGTCCAACTGGTGTTAAAAATTCAAGCAGATCAAATTCTGTTCCTGTTTTTTTTTCCATGTAACAACGAACACCAATGTGTGTATCTACATTCTGGAGAAACTCAGATAATTTCTCTGATGTTTGTTTATTTCACTGGAAGTTGCCATTACCAATGAGCAGGAGAAACCCCAACCAATGCCTCTTATTTTACTCTTTTTCTTCTTAATTTCACTGTATATGAAGCCAAAGCAAGCACCACTTTTTTAATGTAAAGACAGTGCTTAAGATGTGTGACATAATTGAAGGCTTTCACCACATAAAAACATCAAAAAGTTATTTTTTTCCTTAGTGTCTTTTTGTTGTGACTTTTTAGTACCCTTCATATTTTCTTACTCCCTCCTCCTCTTTTGGAAATATATGTTTTTGTTTTGTTTTTTGTTTTTTGTTTTTTTTTTGAGACGGAGTCTTGCTCTGTCCCCCAGGCTGGAGTGCAGTGGCCGGATCTCAGCTCACTGCAAGCTCCTCCTCTCGGGTTCACGCCATTCTCCTGCCTCAGCCTCCCAAGTAGCTGGGACTACAGGCACCCGCCACTTCGCCCGGCTAGTTTTTTGTATTTTTTAGTAGAGACGGGGTTTCACCGTGTTAGCCAGGATGGTCTCGATCTCCTGACCTCATGATCCGCCCGTCTCGGCCTCCCAAAGTGCTGGGATTACAGGCTTGAGCCACCGCGCCCGGCCGGAAATATATGTTTAGTGTCAATTCTGTGATGCTTGAGGCATTATTCACTTTAATGAGTGCCTTTACTTCTGTGATACCTGAGGCAAGAGGCATTTTACTTCTCACCAGAATTTGAGTTTTATGATGTGGTGTGCTTTGGGTAGCTGAGGAGACAATACCCCATGAACTTCAAAGTCACATAATTAAAATGTGGAAAAGTAGGTCTGTCTCTTGTTCAAAAGAACTAAACATTGAATGCTGCAGCATGAAGCTCGAGGCTTCAGTGGAGAAGTTCAGAAACCAGATAACTCTGAGCCGTTAGACCTGATACTGGCCTCTCAGAAATCTGAATAAATAATTGTAGGATTTCCAAGATATTGAAGGCATTAGTGAATCATTTCCCTGGGGGTATTAAGGTAAATTTTTCAGTGGAAGACAACTAGAAAATAAATCCTCTTTTCACAAGCCTAAGATCTTAATAAAAGTGATCATGAAATTGACCTCGGTAGGGAGAGCACTGACAAGACCATGTGGCCTGAGTGAAGTCCTAACAATGTAGGAGATAATGTACAAAGACACAGAGGAAGACACAGAGGTTAGATCAAAAATATTAATGGCAATTTGGAATGCAGAAGCATGTTTGTGTATGTGTGTACATGCATGTGTTTGTGTGTGTACCTAGATAATTTCAGATGAGCCTGGACAATTAACAAGCCATGTTTGCATTTTACAAACACACATTCAAAAAAGACACAGGTTGGCAACCATTGCAGAAATACAATAAAATATAGTTGTGACAAGAACCTAAGTTTGTGATGATGAATTTAGAGAGAAATTCTAGGCCTTTCCCTATAAAACACACATACACACACACACATCCCTCATTCTAAATGAACACAGTGCCCACAAACTTTACTACAAACAATTTGCACATAAATGGATATGTCACTCCTTATGTAGATGAAAGATAAACATATACTTCCATTTACAGATGGATTCTTCCATCACTGAAAGAAAAAGTGCATTTCAGGTCTACGCTGCAAATATATTTAGTTACAAATTTACTTCTACCAGACAGTTTTACCTGTTACTTTTGAAAGATGAACAAATTGCTTGATTATTTTAAACTTATGAGTGAATTTTAAATTGCTGTTCACTGTTCATGAAATGAAAAATTATTTGCACTTGAACAAATGTGTAAGGATATTTGCTGTTGCTTTGTAGATTTGCTCATATAGATGAATTTTGCTCATGAGGCTTGACAGGGAGTTGAATCTACTTCCTATTTTTTACATGTTTGTATGATTTGGTAATAGTCTCTTGTAGTGAATGTTTATGAACATGATGAAAGTATGTATATACTTTCAATGGAGAGTTGTGATAAAATGGCATAACTCAAGTTTCACCTATGATTTTGTCAAGTAGTTTTCAAACTGGGTTTGGGAGTTTGATGGAATCCCAAAGGGGAAGATAATAGTTTTACTACTAAAAATTGTTAAGATTATTTTGGCTATATACTTCAATTTTTGGTTAACAAAATAACTGTCATAATTATTTCACTATAATTTTAACATAAGTACATTTCTCTCTCTCTTTTTGTGTCTCTGAGACTCAGAGACAGGATCTTGCTCTGTTACCCAGGCTGGAGTACAGTCACACCATCACAGCTCACTGCAGTGTCAACCTCCTGTGCTGAAAAAAATACTCCCACCTAAGACCCCACCCCGACCCCTGAGTAGCTGAGGCTACAGTTAGTTGCACATCACCCTGCCAGGCTAACTTTTGTCTTTTTGTAGAGACTAGATACCACCACGTTGCCCAGGCGGTTTTGAACTCTGGGGTCCAGCAATCCACTCACTTTGGCATCCATAAGAGATAGGAGGAGGGGGAATTATAGGCATAAGACACTAAACCAGACCCCATTTTTTTGTGTAATAATAATTCTGCTTTTATTTCTGCTTTTATTTATTTTTGCAAATAATTGATTTAATGGTCATAATGCTTCAAAAATGAGAAGAAATATGTAAATATTAATCACATAACTGGTAAAATAGGTGAAATATTGATGAACTCAAACCAGGTCATTAATAAATATTTACAAGCATTAGGTACTGCATTTACAGATGTTGCCAAGTTGTACATCCATGGGCCCAGTCATCATATATTTGGATTGACTTTTCAAATAACAGCAGCAATTACCTAATTAAGTAGTAAATTGAAAGCCTTCTAAACTTCTTCCCATGTGTTGTTTCCTGTGTGCCTGTGACTTTGCATTTCTTGATGAACAGGAGTCTTAACAGAGTCATAATTCATCCCTTCTTCATAAAAACCTTCTCAATGAAGTCAGGTATCCCATAGTACTTGCTTAGAATGAAATCCTTAAAGGCGATTGTTACATAAAGATCTTCAAGAATGTTGTGTTCTTGATCCTTCCCCAAAGGCTTAACATCAGTTTTATGTAAAATCTTGGGGTCAATCAAAGGTTCATCATTTTTTCCTTTTTCCACAACTGAGGCTTCAGGTACCACGCTCTGTAACTCATCTTCACAAGTTTTGGAGCATGAGGATTCGTTAGTTTCTGGATTTTCCTCTGCCAGTCTAGTTCCCGTAAGGAGAATTCCATCTTCTTCATGTGATCTTTCTTCAGTCTGTCATTTATGTGTAAGGAATTCTGGCTTACCTTCTTTATAGAAAGTTTTGATCGGTTGCTCTGCACTCAGCGCCAAAGTCAAACTGACTTCTGATAAAATCTTCATCAATTCCCTTGACTCCGAAAGAAGCAACCCATTCACAAAGCTCATGTATTGTTTCTGTTAGGTGTTCATCTTGAAGAGAGTTAGAAATGCATTCCGTTGCTGTTGTTATATCTTCCTGAAGCAATTCTCTGAGAGGAGACACTTGAGACTTGGGAAGCTCCAGGCAAAGACAGAATACACCGCTTGGAAAGCTCTGATAGAGACGCGACATCTGAGGCTTGAGAGACTCCCGGCAGAGAGGGGACATACCAGTCTTGGGAGGCTTCGGGCAGAGAGTAAACTCACTTAGTAAACTCACTTATTACTTTCAGGAGTGTTTTTGTAGATTTCATTGTATTTTATAGATATATATGGTCATGTCATCTGTGATGAAAGCTTCCCTTCTTCCTTTCTAATCGAAATATCTTTAATGCGCACAGCACGCCACCCCTCCACTGCTCCACAGCCATCCCAAGCCTCCTGGATTTAATGCACTGGCTGAAACCTATATATAATTTTAACTGGAAGTGATGAGAGAGAAAATCTTTCCGTTGTTTCTGATCTTAGAGGAAAGCCATTAGGTAGGGTGTTAGCTGATACGGTTTTTGTATATACACTTTTTGTTTTTTAATCTGAAGAAATTTCCATTAATTTCTATTCTGAGAGTTTGTGACAAAAGCTTCTTGTCAAACGCTTGGATTGTGTAATATTTTTCTGCACCCATTAATATGTTCATACAACACTTATTTTATAATTATACTGAAGTATTAAGATGTTAATACAGCACTTATTTCATAATTATGCTGAAGTAGTGAATTATAATGATCAATTTCCAAGTGGTAAACACACTTTGAATTCTGGGAATAAACCTCAATTGATTTTATTCTCTTTATTTATCCTCTGTATATGTTGTTAGATTGAATTTGCTGAAATATTCCAATTAATTTTTTGCATTAGTGGTTATGAAGGATATTTGGTGATGGTTTTCCTTTAATGTTGTTGTTTGGTTTTGTTAGAATGGTTTCAAAAGGATCTTATTCTCCTTATTTTCTCAAAGCATTTATGTATGGTTAGTGTTATTTTTTTCCTAATCATAGAGAAAAGGCTTCGCTCAGTGTCCAGGCTGGTCTTAAACTCCTGGGCTCAAGCAATCCTCCCTCCTGAAGCTCCCAAATGTTCACATTACAGGCCTCAGACACAGCTACTGTCTTCAATTTCATCTTTGAAGTACATCCTTTTAGAGTTAAATGTTGAGTACAGCAGGTTAAGATTGCAAATCAGTAAACTAGAGTTAAATTAATCAATACATCTTGGTTAATGTAAGACTGGTATCAGAAGCTAATGAAGCAAGGGAATAAAAATTCATGTAATAAGGAAAATGGGGACTTGGTTTAAAGATAAAGATTTTTGCTTATAAGTATTTTCATTTTTGTTAAATTATCATTATTATTCCCTTCAGTATGATGGGCAGGTGGAACATCTCCACTTAAGGCCAAGGAGAGAGTGATATTTTCAGATGAAAAAACAAAGCCAGTAAGTAAATTGCCCAGAGTTAACATTAGGCCAGTTATAAGAAAACAATTGATATTCGAATGTCTTTGAATGTTCATTATTGTCCCTCTGTCATACAACAAATGTTATTCCCATTGTTGCAATAATTTCACATTATTACAATAAGCAACAATTGAAATACTGTGAATAAGAATCATGTGATCCAAGTAATGCTTCCAAAGCTCACATCACTCTTTAATGAAAGAGATTACATTACTATATAAAAATCATCTTCCATTTACCCATCTTATGGTGGCTATAGAAGTCAATATTAGGAAACATGGATATTGGAAAAGAACCTGCCAAGCTTGTGAAAATCTCCCAAAGTCATATCTCTGAAAAGTGATTATCAGCATAGAATATCCGTCTCTTTGCACAGTTGCCCCATTCTGTACTTCTTCAAGTAAGATGAACAAATGTTAATATTGTGTCTTTAAGGTCATTGTTACCATAATTTTGCTCTTCTATAACAACATACAATAAAAACTTTTTTTTTAAATTTATAATCTAGCAATAATTTTCAACATCAGATTGTCCTGCTAGTTTGTACTATCAATTAGCTTATTCTTTTTAAGTTTTCATTTTGATGTGTTTGTTTTTTCTTTATCAACATGGCATTGTTATTATTTCTTTTTATTGGTGGTTTCTATGTATCACTTCTCCCTCTGTGACTTCTTTGTTTTGTATGTGTATGTATGTATTTATTTTTGCTAAAAAAAAGCTAGAAAGATAAACCAGAAACCAATAATAATGATTACATTCATGGTATAGGGGGTCATAAATAGTAAAGATGGGTAGAGATGGGAAGGAAACATCTCCGAATAGAAATTTTTTGTTTACTTGGGTTCTGGGGTATGTGTGCAGAATGTGTAGCTTTGTTACATAAGCATGCAAATGGCATGGTAATTTGCTGCCACTGTCAACCCGTAACTTAGGTTTTAAGCCCCACATGCATTACATGTTTTTCCTAATGCTCTCCCTCCTGTTTTCCGCACCCCAAACAGGCCCTGGTGTGTGATGTTCCCCTCCCTCCTCTGCATGAGTGAGAACATGCAGTATTTGGATTTCTGTTCCTGTGATAGTCTGCTGAGAATGATGGTTTCCAGCTTCATCCATGAAGTGACATAAGCTTTGGAAGCATTACTTGGAACACATGATTCTTATTCATTATATTTCACTTGCTAATTGTAATAATGTGAAATTATTGCAATAATGAGAATAACATTTGTTGTAAGACAGAGGGACAATAGTGAACATTCAAAGGCATTTGAATATCGATTGTTTTCTTAAAACTGGCCTAATATTAACTTTGGGCAAAGGACATGAATTCATCCTTTTTTATGGCTGCATAGTATACTGTGGTGTATATGTGCCACATTTTTTCATCCAATCTGTCATTCATGGGCATTTGGGTTGGTTCCAGATCTTTGCTATCACAAATAGTGCAGCAATGAACCTAGGTGTGCATGTGTCTTTATAGTAGAATAATTTATAATCCTTTGGGTATATACCTAGTAATGACGCGGCTGGGTCAAATGGTATTTCTGGTTCTAGATCCTTGAGGAATCGCCACACTGTCTTCCACAATGGTTGAAATAATTTACACTCCCACAAACAGTGTAAAAGTGTTCCTATTTCTCCACATCTTCTTTCAGATATTTATATTTAATTATATTTCAGCTTAATTATCTGCTTTTCTAAACTCTCCACATTTAGGGTATCTTGCTTAATATTTCTTCCTAAATCACTGCAAGCATTTATAATTTTTGTTCATTTTCCTGAACTTCCATTTCACCTAAACTTTTCCTTAATTTTTCACTATGAAAACATGAAAGTTTGTTTTTGCTGAAATATTCAGAAAGACAATATTGTGTTACTTGAATAATCAAATAAAAAGAACATGACTATGTAATTTTAGATTTATGTCTGGATGTGCAAAGGTAAACACAACCAGGATACTGTATTTTTTAAAGGGTCAAAACATTCTAATGGAAAAGAACAACCACCATAACATTGCAAGTGTAATGTAATAAACACAGACCAAAACATGGTGATTTTAGAAATTAACACGTTAACAACTAAAGCTGTTCTCAACTATCATGAGAAGCAAAAACTCTTTCCTGTGATAATACAATATTTTATATAGAAGAAGAAACACCAAAATACAAAGCCATTGATGATGTCTCAAAAGAGAAACCCATTTTATGTATTTACAAGCATGTCATGCATCTGATATACATGACTTTGCTTACATTGGTCTAGATCCTATTTTCAGTATCTCATTTGAAGAAACATTAATCTCCTCATGGTCCCATTCTTCTAGCTTGTCCTCGCCATTCTCTAATCTCATGTAGAATATCCTTCTACATGCCTTTTTTAGAGATTGAGCCTTGCTCTGTGTTGCCTAGGATGGAGTGCAGTGGCATGATCTCAGCTTACTGCAACCTCCACCATCTGGGTTCAAGTCATTCTCCTACCTTAGCCTCCCAAGTAGCTGGGATTGCAGGTGTGCACCACTACAGCCAGCTAATTTTTGTATTGTTTTCATAGTAATGGGATTTCACCATGCTGGCAGGATGTTCTCAAACTCCTGATCTCAAGTGTTCTTCCTTTTTGGAATAAGAGCTTTGTGCTGAGAGCTGTACAGTTGCCCCAGTGAAGCTGTTCTCTGCTTTGCTCACTCTCCAGTTGTTCACATAGCCTCATTCTTCCTGGATGCTTGACAAGCCTTCAGGATCCACTGAGCCACAGGGGCAAAAAGAGCTGTAACACTCTCCTAGGTGGCTTGCCAAGCTGTGAACTGTGACATGCTCGAGACTGCAAGAGTAAAGAGTGGCGACCCTTCTAGGGGCCCAGACCTTGAGATTCCCCAAACCAGTGCTATAACATGATAGCCTTCCATACTGTATTTGTGCTGGGCTGTCATCTCATGTGACAGGAAGCAGTGTTAGACCTGGGCGGCCCAGGATCCCTGGACTTGAGCAGGGTGGCAGGTCTGAGAGAGCAGTAACACAAGTGGGCTGAAACAGCCCCAATCGCCTGCACCCCCTGTGTCACTGGTCACAATGTGGGCAGTGAGAAAGAGAGAAGAGCTGCGACCAGCCCAGACCTCAGGGCTACCTGGGCCAGGACTGTGACATGCTGTAACACACCACTTTGGGCCTCTTTACTTCCTGGTGTCCCCATGATTTTGGACACCACAAGGTTCTCTGATTCCTGCAGCAGAAGCCACTTGCGGTATGCCTCCTCCAGCCATAGCTTCACGTGGATTCAGTGTCTGTATCAGGACCTGGAGCTGCATGCCCCACTGCAGCATCCAGCATTCCTGGCTATGTACAGTGGCTACATCCCATGCTTACTTACACACCCCTCAACACTTTGCACCTGGTTTGCCCTTGGCAATCATGGGGTCCAGACCAGTAGCATGTGCCAAGTGCAGACTGCCTGGTTGATGGGGTGGAACAACCCCAATGTACATGAGCAACACTCAAGCAAAGGCGCCACTGGCTTTAGAGGTTTCAGGCTGGTGAAGCAAGACCTGAAGGAGCCTATGACAGTATCTGGTTTTCTTCTCCTCTATTATTTTGTTGAGGATAATGGTCTCCAGCTTCATCTAAGTTTATATGAAAAACATAATCTCATTCTTTTTTATGGCTATATATTATTCCATGGTTTATATGTAGCACATTTTCTTTGTCCAGTGTAATACTGATGGACGTTAGGTTGATTCCATATCTTTGCTACTGTAAGAAGTTCTGTGGTAGGCCTATGTGTGGATGTGTCTTCATAATGGAACACTTTATATTCCTTTGGATATATACCCAGTAATAGAATTGCTGGGTTCTGTAGTAATGTCTTTAATCCGAGGAATTACTAAACTGTCTTTTACAATGGTTGAACTAATTTACACTCCCACCAAAAGTGTATAAACATTCCTTTTCCTTGAATTTCACTAATGATCAGGGATGTTGAGCTTTTCATGTAATTGTTTGCCACTTGTATGACTTCATTTTAAAAGTGTCTTTTTAGGTGACTAGCCTACTTCCTAGGCAATACTATTCAGAATATAGCCATGGGCAAAGATTTTATGATAAAGCAATTGCAACAAAAGCAAAACTTGAAAAATGGAATCTCATTAAACTAAGGTGCTTCTGCACAGGAGAAAAAAAGACAACTAGGAATGAATAAAAAGACTACCTATAGAATGGAAGAAAAATTTTTCAAAGTATGCATCTGATAAAGGATAATATCCAGCATCAATAAGAAACTTCAGTTTACAACAAATCATTTTTTGTTTATGCAGTAAGTTGTTATTAATTTGAAATAATGGGTAATAAGATGATGTTTTCAAGTCTATAGTAAAGTCAAATCCATAAGCATATAATGAAGACACAAAAAAATTAAAGGCAAGGAACTAAATTACCTCATGAGAGAAAATCACCTTCAATAAAGAAATACAGAAAACAAGAAAAAAAGATCAGAAAACAAGTAACAAGGAAGCAGTAGTTTCCAGCTATTAATAACAACATTTAATATAAACGGACAAAATCCAATCAAAAGACAGAGTTGACTGAGTAAAACAGCAGAAGTAGTTATACTTATATTAAACAAAATATATTTGAGACAAAAACTGTAAGAAAATGCAAATAATGTCAGTATGTAATAATAAAGATGTCAATTCAGCAAATCTAACAATGTTAGATATATATGCACCCAACACTGGAACAGCCAGATATGTAAAGCAGATTTATCGGAGATAAACAGAGAGGCCCCAACACAATAGCAGCTTGAGACAGTAACACAGCACTTTAATCATCAGACAGATCCTCCTGTGAAAAAATAAACAACAAAGACACATCATATTTAATCTGCATGATAGGCTTAATAGATATAATACAAAGAATATTTTTAAATATTCTTTGAATATTTAATATTTAATAGTCTGAATAATATTTTTGAATAGTTAATAACTTATATTTTGAATAATTAATATTTAATATTCTTTGAATATTTAAAGAATGTTTAATGACTGCAGAATATACTTTCTTTTCCTTTGCACATAGATTATTCTCAAGGACAGACAATATTATGGTTACAAAACAGGTACAGAAGCATTGAAAATAATTGAAATAATATCAAGCATCTTCTCAGATCACAATGAAATAAAACTGAAAATTGATGACAAAAGGAATTTTGGAAATGATAGAAATATGTAGAAATTGAAGAACATGTTTCCAAATGACATACTGGTCATTGAACAAATTTAAAAAAGAATTATTAAATGATAATGGAAACACAACTCATCAAAACCTATGGAATATAGCAGTGCAGTACAAAGAAGAAAGATTTAGCTTAAATGGCTGACATCAAAAATTAGGTTAAAACACTAAAAGTAGGTGGTTGGGGTGGCTCATACCTCCAATCCCAGCACTTTGGGAGATCGAGGCAGGCCGATCACCTAAGGTCGGGAGTTCAAGAGCAGGCTGACCAAGATAATGAAACCCCATCTCTACTAAAAATACAAACATTGGCTGAGCATGGTTGTATGTACCTGTAATCCCAGCTACTCAGGAGGCTAAGACAGCATAATAGCTTGAACCCGGGAGGCAGAGGTTGCGTTGAACAGAGGCCATGCCATTGCACTACAGCCTAGGCAACAAGAGCAAACCTCTGTCTTAAAAAAAAAAAAAAAAAAAAAAGAAAAAGAAATTGTAAGTAAACAATTTAATAAGACATGTTAAAAATCTAGAAAAAAAGAACAAACCAAAACCAAAACTAACAGAAGAAAAGAAATAATAAATATCAGAGTAGAAATAAATACAGTTGAAATAAAATAAAGATTAATAAAACATAAAGTTGCTATTTTATGGAAACATAAACAGAATTGCTAAGCATTTAGCCAGACTACTCAAGAAAAGAGATAAAAGATTCAAATAAATTAAATCAGAAATAAGAATGAGATATTTTCACTGATACTGCAGAATTCAAGGAGTTTTTAGCAGCTACTATGAGTAAATGTATGAAATTTAATTGATAAATCTGGAAGAAATGCACAAATTTTTAGACACAGGAACTAATACCAGCTCTACCCAAAGTATTGCAAAAACAAAAAAGAAGAAACTATATCTAAATTCATCTATCAGATCAGTTTTACCTTGATAACTACCAAAGACACATTGGGGAGAAATAAAATAAAATAAAATAAAATAAAATAAAATAAAATAAAATAAAAAACCCTACAAGACAAGCCAATATTTCTGATGAATATTGATGCAAAAAATTCTCAAGAAAATACTAGCAAACCAAATTTAACTACACATTAGAAGGATTATTCACTATGACCAAATAAGATTATCTCTTGGATGCAAGGGTGGTTTAATGTATGTAAATAATGTAATACCTCATATCAACAAAATATAAGGTAAAAATTATATAAGTATTTCAACTGATGCTAAAGAAGCATTTGATAAAGTTAAACATTGCCTTTGATGAACAAAAATCTAAAAAACTAAGCATAGAAGGAAGATACCTCAACATAATAAAAGCTCTGTAAAACAGACCCACAGCTAGTATTGTGCTTAATGGATAAATACTAAAATACTTTCCTTTAACATTTAGAACACCACAAGTATGCTGACTTCACTACTGTTATTCAATATAGTACTTGAAGTCTTGGCTAAAACAATCAGACAGAAGAAAGATGAAAAGGATATTTGAATATGAAGGAAAGTTGATGGGTGCAGCACAGCAACATGGCACAAGTATACATATGTAACAAACCTGCACGTTATGCACATGTACCCTACAACTTAAAGTATAATAATAAATAAATTTTAAAAAAAATAAATAAAAAATAAAAATAAAAAAAATAAAAAAAAATAAGAATTTCAATTATACTTTTTTTTACTGATA